GGGATATATAGGGGGGGTAGTCAGTTTTACAAATGAAGTCTACAGGGGAGACAGAAATGGTATATTATGTCACAATTTTCTTCTTTTTTTTTTTTTGGAGTGGCCTTAGTCTGTGCGTTCTAAAGAAGCAGGTCTAGAAAAGGGTGGATAGAGCTTGTCAGAGAAACATTCTATAAAAGCATTATTATAACCATGCAACTGTATACAAGCTACGACAAACAAAAGAAAGGCATCAACGTCACCAGAAGAGACCGCCTTAGAAATGAACCCATATGTCTGGTAACTGGATTACCATCAGTAATAAAATTCATAGAGCGCCAAAGAGTCAAATGGTTTGGACATCTAACCAGAATGCCCCAGAAACAACTAGCAGCTAGAGCTTACAAAACCTGAGAATCCGGCTTCAAGTCAAGAGAAAGACCAAGAAAGACCTGGCTGGATGGGGTTTAAAAGGTTCTGGAACAACATAATATATCTATCACAGACGCTACACACCTAGCACTACCATCACCACCACCACCACCATTCCCTCTCTCACCCTGGGTAGTGGCCACTAACAAACTCTGACCATCCTGGGTTAGACTCTTGATATTCTTCCATGTCTTTCCTCCTTTCTGACCATGTTTCTCTCTTAATCTTCTCCAGGTTCCCCTTGATCTTATAATAATAATAATAATATTTGCATTTTTATAGCGCATATCCACGCTCTACAAAAATATGCTCTAAGTGCTTTACATAACTCTTACCCTGTGGAAGCTCATAGACACACTTTCTGATGTTTCTGAGGCCCCCGTCACACGCAACGATAAATTAAGAAAAAAATAGATGATCTATCTATGATACGATAAATCGTTAGATGTAAGCACAAAATTGTACAAAGTTTTGACGCTTGGACGATGGCTTGGAGACTCGGTCGAGAAATCAAGCGCTGCTGGATATTTTCCTTGCGATCACGGTCAGATCTGGAGGGAGACGCGCTGTGACGTAGAATCACTTTGAAATTTGCCTCCGCGCATGATTAAACTTTAATGACGTCAGCCTATTAGGGGGGAG